CGTTCATGGTCGAGTAGCCGATTTTGCGCATGGCGAGCTAGCTAGCGACAAACTTAATGAGACCGGCGAAGGTCTTCGGACTGGTGAAAGTCCAAGGAACGCGGTGGAAGTTCCGGGTGTCGAATGTGCAGATCAGGCAGGTGGTTCGGTTGATGCCATGGCGATGCCTAAAGACACCCACACAGGTTCCAAGGCGGAGGTGGGCAAAAAGATTCCGTAGGAATCAGGTAAAAGCGCTGCGGTGGGATGCTAGGTTATTCTGTGAAAGCTTCAGTCAACAACGCTAAGGGCGACGCGTATAAACGGGCGAGTACGAGCGATGAATGTTCGCAAACGTCTAGTAAACGTGACCGGCAGAGTTCTGTGCAGCTCGAGACGGCTAGACTGTCTGAACCAAGTTTCCTTTATAAAAAAAATCGACATATCAAAATAAGGTGAACTAAGGAGCTTTTTGAAAAGCAAATCACAGGGATACAAGCCAAAGAAGTCCAAGACATTAGAACGGCCTGAAATAGAGAAGTTTCTGAACGAAGCTCCCGATGACGAGTACTTGTTGATGAAAGTGGATTTAATAATGAGGATTAGCGGTGCTTGTAGATGCGATGAATTGGTCAATTTGAAAATAGAAAATATTCAAGACAAAGGGAAATATTTTCACGTAGTTTTGCCAGACGCTGAAACCAAGAAATCGAGGAGTTTCACCATACTTCAAGAAGGATTTCCAGTCAACTCGATCAATTTGTGTAAAAAATACATGTCTTTGGGACCAAAGAATACTAGTTCTAGCCACATTTATGTTTTTAACAAAAATGGGAGGTGTACCAGCCAGTGTGTGGGAATAAATACGTTGTTGAAGATACCTTCAAGAATTGCAAAGCTTTTTAACTTGGAGAAACTAGCGCCCTACATCGGTCACTGCACACGAATTTTACAATTACTTCAAGATCGAATGAACCATTAGCGTTTTCCTTCAATTTCAATATCAATGTGAATCCTGCTTGTGATAGCATTGAATAAATAAATAAATGTCTAAAATGACATTAAAAATGACAGTCATAACTGTCATGTGTTGGATAATAGTATATTATTTAACGAGCGGTAATGTAGATCATAACTCACGCAGAGGAAGTTTGTAATTCATTAAGTGAGTTATGACCATTACCGCAAGTTGAATACTATACTTCATCTACGACTATTACAATAAATACTAAGTTATAAGTACAGAGAAAGAACTTCATTGACAAATCTCAATAAACCTAATACAAATTTTAGTTTTAATCACCCATTTTGTTTATTGATAAAATTATCTGTGAAGTTTGAACAACCAGTAAACTGACTATGCGGAACTGAATTATGGAAGTTTATTGTTTCTTTTTGTGTTTGTTGCATATATGTTGTTGATGTACTAACTGGTTGAGCTGTTATAGAACTCTTTTCGGAATCATCAACGTATCCCTCAGCCACACTAGTTGATCGCCAACCGCCATGGCGTTTCAGTGCCGTTATATACCCTCCAGCATCTACTAATAAAGTTGCCGACAAACGGCGAAAACAATGCCCTGTGTATAAATTACGACAGTCTGGTAATTTCAGAAATGTGGCAATGTCTTTCCCCATTGCTACAAATTTCATCAATGCCAATTCTTTGAGAGTGATATTTTTAATTTTGCAATTTAAAAAATAATATTGTTTGCGAGATATCGGTAGGACGGAGATTTAAATATTTCTTAACTATGGTATAAATATTTCCCGTAACAGTGAATTTCCTGGCAATTTTTGTTTTTGTATTCGGTACCGAATGAATTATTGTGAGATCTACTACCTTTGACGTCAGATATTTTTCATCAGGAGCTTCATTTATGAAATTATTAAGTTGTTCTGGCGTAAAAGTTTTCGCTTTTTCAGCTACATGTTTCTCTGATTGACGTTTAAGAAACGACCGTAATTTTGAATACCTAATTCTCTATATTGATTCCATTATTCAGGTTGAGTCAGTTGAGTGTGCTTCTTAGCATGGAGTAGAATGTCCATAGAGGCGATGCCTTATATTTAGTGCTAAGTTCACTAAAATATGCCAAAAGAACATTGTCTGTGAACGATGACGTAATGTTCTTACTGCTACACCAATCTTGAAAATTTTTGTATACCTACACCTTTATATTCGTTTTGGGATTTTTCTGGCAATAGATTCTGTATGGTTACATTAGCTAATTGTCTAATTTCTGGAGGTGTACATGATAATCAATCTTTTTCAGCAAAAAATCACAATAATTGTATCAACTTAATTTGAAAACGTCAAAATTATTCAATTGACGTCACTCCCCTCAATAACAATAATGGACTATTCCCTTTCGGTCAACTGGCTTGTACAGGAGTACTGAGCCATCTTGATTTTCGGTTCGTAAATAATTCCAAGAGCCTTTCCCGATGTAAGTATTATAGTGAGTTTAGTGAGTTATAGTAGCGAGAGTTATTATAACTCACGCACAGATACTATTAATTGTTCAAAAGCAGTTGAATCATTGATATATAAGTAAGTAAGTAAGTAAGTATTTATTCAGTTAATATGACAGAGCACAAGAGCACAATAGGAAATGTGTGTAAAAATATAGCATTAACGTAATATCAGTTACAAACATAATATAGTAGCTGGGGATACAAATTTATAGAGAAGGAGATGCCACCTAAGCAAGCTCGTGTTGTGGCATCATCGTTCTCATTATTTGGATACAATTCATTGGATGGAAAATGTAGACTAGTTCAACGAGAGCAAACATGTGTGGCCATTAAATGTTTTCCAGTATAGCATTTAAGCAATCAAAACTATTCTTCATAAAACATTTCAATTTTGGTTCAATTTTTTTGATACTGGTAACATTCTTCAATTCAGAGGGTAATTGATTATAAAGTTTGGGTCCAATATATGTTACGAATCTCTGATTATGACGAAGTCTGGCAAAGGGGACATCAATATTGTGGTTTGTGTTGAGGCGGGTGTTATAAGGGTGTGTTTTAAAATTCAAGGGTATGTGTTCATAATCCACAGGAGACAATGATAAATATAAAGTTTCTTCACATTGAAGACATCCGCTTCTTCGTACAATTTCGTGGTGGAGAATCTTTTATTTTTCTTCAATAAGATTTTCAGTAAGGTATTTTGGACTGTCTCCAAATTCCACAATGTAGTTTTGAGTGTTCCACCCCAAGCAATAATACAATAACGAATAATGGATTCTGATAGTGCGCTATAAATCATCATGAGAGTTTTTTTATTCAGAATATTCCTGAGTTGGTAAAATTTGTAAATCAATTTACGAAGTCTTTTTGTAGTGTATGTGATATGCTCGTTCCAGTGCAAAAATTGCTCTACCATAACACCCAGATATTTTATCGATTGAGTTTTTTTAACGGAGGGGCAATGACAATTAGTGGATGCATCACAGTTGACATTATGGATATGAAGGGTCTGAAGTGTGGGTTGATCTTTGGCCGTCGAAGAGAATGCAATGAATCTGGTTTTTTCGATATTGAGGCTCAGTAAACTATTACTGAGCCAGCTAGAAATTAATGCCATTCCCTTTTCAGCTTTATTGTATGTTTCATCCCAAGTGTTACCTACAAAAGACACAGCGATGTCATCAGCATAGGATGTCAAGTTACCGTCGACATGTTCAATAGAGAAAATACTGTTTATGTACAACAAGAAAAGGATAGGGCCCAACACTGTCCCCTGTGGAACCCCCATGGTGACTGGTAATGGATCACTCAAAGAAGTATTCACCCTTAACTACCTGCATTCTTTTCGAGAGATAATCTTTCAGTATATCCAATGACACGCCCCTGATTCCACTGCACTCCAGACGATTGAACAGTATTTCATGATTGACAGTATCAAAAGCCTTAGCCAGGTCTAAAAATACTGTCAAGCATTTCTGTTGATTTTGGAAACATTCAAATACTGAGTTTGTCAATTGAAATACTGCTGTTTCAGTAGAGAGGTTTGCCCTGAATCCAAATTGGTTATCCGACAGAATATTATTTTTAGTACAAAAATGTAGTATTCTGGACTTCAAACATTTTTCAAAAATTTCTGCAAAATTGTTTATGCACTAGCGGGCCGTAAAGTGCACTTTACCGCCCGGTTTTGCGGGCGTTAACTCGCACTTTACCGCCCGTGGGCCCATTATGGCCCACGGGCCGTAAAGTACACTTTACCGCCCGCTGTTCTCAGTCACCTTATATCCACATATCAGATTATGAAAAACCTATGATCATATTCCTAGATTCTGATACATCCAGCGGTATATCATGAACTTCTTCTTCATCCGATTCCATAGTCTCGCTATTATTATTATCACTAATTTTACTTTTCAATCAAAGAATGACAATTCAGCTCGTTTATTGGATGTATTGCTATAGACAACAACCATCAGATTGATTGACAACGTCAAAATAAGTTAGGTTCATATACTGGGTATGCGTATTGTAAAATTCTGAAGAATGAATCTCTTCTAGAGCTGAAAGAGTTTTACTATTACGATAATTGCAATATTCGTACAATAATTTTCATATGTAAATCATCCATGAACGTTACACTTCTCTTGATTACTGAATTTATACGTAACAAATTGAATTCTGGAGAATAGTAGTTTATCGAAATCTATAGTCATTACTTCTGAGTCAGAAAATGAACCACTAGTGCATAAAATTTTGTATGTATCTCGTGCGTGAAATGCGTTTATGGCCTTCAGCGTGTAATGGCCCTCGGCTAGCGCTATCGGGCCATTATTCACGCCACAGGCCATAAACGCCCACTTTACGCCCTTGATACATAAATAACTATTATTACAGTTATTGGCCTATAATTGGTAGCTGTTTTCTTGTCTTAATAGGAGTAGATAAATGTATTTTTTTGTAGAGGTCGACGAAAAAATCATTTTTTCCTGCGTACCCGCAAGAAAAGCACAGTGACCCAGCAAAAAGTAAGCCAAAAAGGATACTTCCACTCGACCACGTCGATGCACATCTTCCTCAGCGGATTCTTCAGGTGCAGACAGAAGAGCGCGCGCTGCGGCCGGTCGGGCGGCGCTTTGCCCGCCCTGCGCGCCGGCCTCTTGGCGGCTGCAGCTGCGGCGGCGGGCGAAGGGCGTCCGCCCCCCGGCCCCGCCCCCGCGGCGGCACTCATCGCGCACGCGCTAGGTGGCGGGGGGGCGCGCCAGGGCGGTCCGGCTGCGGCGGGCGGATCGGGCCGGGGCAGGACAGTAGGCGGGGCGCGGAGTTCATACTGCAGCCCTGGAACAAGGCGAGGAGGATTATATTTTTGATTTGATTTGAAAGATTTATTTAGCTTTCGCTAGTTTTCTCATCATATTTTTTACAATTATAAACATATTTACAAAGTATAAATTCTTGAAATAACTATTAACTATACGTATAAACTATACTAAATCCTAAAGTAAACTTTTCGTAACATATTCTTAAAAATTTCAATATTTGGTGCAACTTTGACAATAAGTGGAAGGCTGTTGAAATGATGCAATCCCTGGACGAAAAGAGATTTTTGTAGAACATTCGAATGACATCTTGCTATATGGAAATTTTCTCTTGACCTGACGTTATATCTATGCATTTCCGATCTTTTCACAAGGAAAGATTGCAGATACATAGGAGCCTGTTTGTTTATGATTTTGTATATCAGTACTAAATTTGATTCTTCGATCATTTGTTCGACATTTAGAAATTTCAGCATCCTAAGCATATCTGTAATCTTTGTGTGTCTATCACATTGGAGTAATATTCTCATACACTTATTTTGCAGTTTTTGAATTCTCTGTATATCACTTTTTGTACAAAAGGTGAGTAAAGACATACAATATTGAAAATGTGGATAAATAATGGTGTTATATACTACTCTTCTAGCCCAAAATGTTAGTTTTCTAGATATTCTTCCATAATATCCAATTTTTTCCCCTAATTTTTTACAAATATCATTCACTTGAGGCCCAAAGTTTAAATATGAATCTACTTGTACCCCTAAGTACTTAATCTCCTGCACAAAGTCAATCACTTCCTGTTCTATATGAATAACGTGGTTTTCGTTTGAGAATGACTTACAGTTATTTTTTGAGACCAGAACCATACATTTCGTTTTCTTTACATTAAGCTTCAACCTATTATATTTCAACCAGTTACTCAATTCTTTGAGTTCTGCATTCATTTGAATAACTACTTCCTCATGATTTTTTCCACATATCGAAATCAGGGTATCGTCAGCAAACATATTGACAAAAGAATTTTGTAAAGCATTGCCTAAATCGTTGATATACAAAATGAACAATAGCGGACCCAATACACTGCCTTGAGGCACCCCATATTCAGTCCCAACTTTTTCCGAACAGTGATCTTGATACTTGGTTGTTTGAAATCGGTCTTCAAGATAATTTCTTAACCATTTCAACATTGATAGTCTATCTCATGTCATTATTGGTTTTTCTAGAGCTATTTCTTGTATTCGGCTGATGATGGGCTTATGTAGGCCCGAAACATGTACCTCTACGTGATCGATCTCTGATCGTCAAATAAATGTTGTGGAGATGACATTGGGTTTCTTCATCTATGAAATATACCACTCCACTTTGAGTTACCATGGACTTCTTCCAAAGATTGATAATCTAGTTGGATTGTATTTTTATTAGGAAAGTTACACTGAGGAAAACTAGCTATTATTATCCATAGTCAAAAATCGAATTACCCCAGTGAGAAACTCTAAGATTTCCACAAAATTCTCAAACACACGACATGTTTCGCTAACACAGTAGCTTCGTCAGGTGATATACTGGTACAGTTCATTGTACCAGTATATCACCTGACGAATTCTTTGTTGGGACGAAGAGAAAATATCAATTTGATCATTGTAAATATTTGAGTTTCGAGCAATTCTACATAAGTGGAATAAATTGTTCATTCTTAGATGCCGACTGGGAACATTCATTAGAATTTGATTCAATGGGGTTGTCTATGATGCTGTTGGTGATTTTATGTAAGAATAATATATCCATGATCTCTCTTCTGTTTGACAGGGATATCAGTTTGGAATGTTTTCTGGCGTTATTTATATCGCCGTTGTAATTGTAATTATCTTTGGAGCTAATATATCTAATGAACTTGTTCTGAATGATTTCCAGGCGATTTATGTATGTTTTATATTGTGGGCACCAAACTACACAGGCAAAATTTAGTTCACTAAATACAAATGCGTAATATACACATATTCAGGCTTTGGTGTTTGAGAAATATTTACAAGTTCTCAATACATAGCCCAACATACGTGAGGCTGAATTTTCAATTGATTCCACATGTGAATCAAAAATCAGTTTGGCGTCATATATTATGCCTAGGTCCCTTATGTTGTTAACTCTCACTATTTGATCATTCCCTATGTAATAATTGCTGTGAATCGAATAGAAATTTCTTGTGAAGCTGATGCAGTTACATTTCTGAAAATTCAAATAAACTAGATGAGTTGCAATATCCTGTCAATCTATTCAGGTCTTCCTGAATCTTGCAACAATCAGATAATGTATTTATGGTGGGATAAAATTTCAGATCATCTGCGTATAAGGAAAATTTACAATATTTGAAACACGATTTTAAAGAATTGACATAAATAATAAAAAATAACGGACCGAGGTGTGATCCTTGAGGAACACCTGATGTAATATTATATTTTTCTGAATTGAATCCCTGTACTGTAACGAATTGTGACCTATTTTTTATATACGACTCCACCCATCTTAAGAGAGATCCACTCACCCCAACCCCAGCAAGGCGCTCGAGAAGAAAATCATGACTGATCTTATCGAACGCTCTGATGAAGTCGGTGTAAATGGCATCCACTTGTAATCTTTGGTCCATATTAATATACAAGTATTCTGTATATTCAACCAAATTCGATTCAAGGGATCGCCCAGCATAAAAACCATGCTGCTCTGATATAATGATAGACTTCACGAGGAAGAATATATATGTATAAACTAGTTTTTCAAAAAGTTTTGGGATCGCCGAAAGTTTACTGATGGGTCTGTAATTACGTTACTTTCCATTTTTGAAAATTGGTAAGACAGCAGCTATTTTCCAAATATCTGGGAATTCACCTTTGCTTAGTGACTGGTTAAAAATCAAGGTTAGATGTTTTGCCAGAGATTTACTACAGTTTTTCAATAAAAGTGGTGGCAATTCATCAGGCCCTGCGGCTTTGTTACTATCAAGCTCCTTCAAGCCGTTTTCGACTTCATTTTCTGTTAACCGGAAAAGGCAAAGTTCGTTATCAGTATCAGTTGTTGATGAACTATTATGGTTGAAATCGTGAGTATAGTACAAAGCTTTTTCGTTCTACAGACGAAAGAGTGTTGGTAAAGTAACTCATATCATATCTCTTCGGATAGATCTTTGATTAACTCATATATTAGCCTTTCTCGTTGTTTTTTTAATTCTTCAAATAACTCCTAGCTTGATCTATTTATTCTTCTACAAACACTTAACCACAAAAAATCATTTCCTCATAGCTGAATAAGATTCAAACGCTGTTAACAGTCCTGAAATAATCTCCTTCGATATGCCAATATTCTAATCGTACCAAAGCGATAAAACATCGAATGGTTTCATCGATATCTGATATTTTTATGATGAATTTTTCCTTCATCGTTGAAAAATCATGTTCAGCCAATCTAGATGAGTGACATTAATATCCATATCGAATATTATATCTATCCATCGTTCGATTAAACTATTTTCATGAGCGAGACATTTACACCAATCGTAAATCAGGTTATTTGATTTGGAGAGGAATCACTTCGTGCGGCGATAAAAAAATATCAATATATCATATATAGTATCGATATATATTCCATAACTATATCGCATATAGGGCATAACCAATTCCCTTTATCGTAACAAGAAACAGAACCGGATCAAGGGTTTCATAAATCTACCAAGGTGTTTATTATATCTTTTTCACCACTACTAGCCATATTTTTCTAATTATTACAGATCATCGAATTATTCTTATTGAATCCAGAAAAATGAGTGTCATATTCTTAACGCTGCCACAGTTTTCCCGTCTCAGCGAGCTGTTTGTGGTGTTTAGCTACAGATAATTATAAAATGGTGCATTCCGTTCAATTATCCACTAGTGAATACTACTAGGGATACTTCGAATGATAATACTCGAGTACGATAATTTCCAAATAACTCAACTATAATTGGCGACTTGGCAACGTGCAGGCTGAGTTTGGCTGTCAGAGGTTTGCGTAGCATTCATAAAAACTGACGTCATCGACATCGATAGCAGTAGACGGAAAAGCACGTTATCATAATTTGCAACAAAAACACATTGTAAAAAGGCTTTTATTTCCAACAGGTTTTACACCCAATAACAGAAAATGCCACAAATAGATATCAGCTTCCGATTATTAATTACACTTTCGACAGAATAATATGAATAACACTTTTTTATGTTCTGGTTCCCACGAAAATGGATATCCTGTAATGTTCAGAGAACATCGTGAGAACCATGGGTAATTAGGTAAGAATTTCTGGTGGTTATATGCCACGGAAAACACCTCCCTTGGCAATGTATTCCAGAGCCTCGCTGTTCGTTGGATGAACGAGTCTTTGAAAAAAGATATTCTGCAGGTCTCCAAAGTGACCACGAAGGGGTGCGAAGCCTCAATTCGACGAGGTTATCTTGCGAGGACTGCCAAGGGAGGAACAATTATTGTTGATATTTCACAGGAGCATCGTCCATGAAAATATCTATGAAATAGAGCCAGATCGACAACTTTTCTAAGGTGTTCCAGAAAAGTGAGTGAGTTTGTGAGCGAGGCATCACCCACGAGACGAATTGTCCTTTTTTGGACAGAATCCAACAGTTTCAGGGTATGTCTGGGTGCTGCACTCCAAATATGGGAACAGTATTCCAGGACAGGTCGGATCCTTGCCTTATAGATCATAAGCAGCTGACTGGAAGTGAAAAAGCTCCTGGCCCGAAACAGAAAATCAAGTTTTTGGGATGTACTTTCAGCACGTGATTTATCCAAGAAAGGTTATTGCTGATAGTAATACCAATCATCAAAATGTCTCCAAAGGTATGGGTACTCCAGATAAGTTTATGTTGGGCACAGTGAGATCGGCTTTTCTAGACAAAAAGGCATATTTGTGATTTGTTTGCATTGAAATCTACCAAGTTATTGGATCCCCATTGGAGAATTGTTGCCATCTTATGTTGCCAACAT